GTAAAGGTGATTTTGAATAATACTAATTATCTGGATTTTTAAAAAATTATATTATTTTTACTATTTATTATTAGGTATTAATTTTTTTTTAAAGCTTTAATGATCATTGATCATTAAATTAAACACGTATAGGTAAGTCATYGCTTCTGTATATTTATTATTTACATTATTTATACATGCAAAGTATTTAGAGTGTTCACAGTATTTCGATACTCTAAAATCTATTGAACCTTGAGATGTATCGAATATTGATTCACAGTGTACCTATAATTTCTTGGCAACAGCTATATAAGCACTATTTATAGTATAATAGGTGAGTTAATCAGTGCTTTATGAGTTACTTTAAAGGTGGATAATGAATAAAACACTAGCAAATAACAATTCAATGATTTTTATTTTAAGTAAAGAATAATAATTATACTTCTRTATAAAATGACTTAATAAGTAATGTTTTTGATACGATGAATGATATATCTAGATTTGGTGCCTAATTATTTAAAAATGTCGAATTTCGTGGGTCTGTAAAACGTTATTTAGTTTATAAAAAAAGTATTGCATTAGTACTATATGAGTACTAAATAGTTATTTGGATTTAATTTAATATAATTAAGTGGACTGTTGGTGTATTTGACTACCTATATTACATTAATGCGAGTATTTATGTATAAAACCATACATGCATGTATCCTTGCTAATCTAAGCATAATGATCGTTTGAAATTATCCCACAAAAACGTTAATTGATGAGGTATATTTTATATTAATTTTGGGCTTAAACTAAATCAAAATGTCGACTTGAACATATTAAATTTGTGTAAAAGTATTATGGTTAACTATATCATAAGTGACAACTGGAAAGTTTAGTATTAAATATTATATGTATCACAACTTACAAGTTTGTTCTGCGTTATTCCTTATTCGTAGTTAATACAAAATGATTGTCCCGTTTAAAATTTATTGGGATTATGACTTTTTAAGTTTGAATATAAGTTCCTGTAATAAATTGGGTCAAATTAGATATATGATACATAAATATCGATGCGTGACGTCAGAAAATCCAAATGAATAATTATTCAATGCATATATATATATATATGATGTTTTGAATACTTACATTGTAGACAATTTGTAGTCTACATCACTATAGTCGTGCGCACAAGGCGTCGCGCATCGTATAGGTACTGCGGAGCAGTGTGCACCATTAAATATTTATACCTATAGCTACTAATTACTATAAACATCTAGAGCTCTATTTATTTATTTATTTAATATATAGTTTGATTATTTATTTCTATACATCACTGGAGTCTCAAACACTTAATTACTTACACTTAAGTTTTGACCCTAAAACTCTGAAAAAGCGTTCAAAAGAAGCCCAGAAATTAAAATTTACTACGCTATGTTCATGTATGTCGTATGTATGTGTATAAATATGAACTTTGAAGTTTTCATTTAGAGATTACATTGCAGGCGTATAAAACAAGTTATTACATAAAAACTTATTTTACCATATAATCAAATGWAAAATAAACATTGAAAATTAATTATTAATTATTTAATGAAATCGATAAATGAAAGACTAATTTATAATAAAGTTAGTTTTAAACACGCATTTATAAATTATAATAAATCAGTAAATGGTTAGGTCCTACTCCTAAGATTGACTAATTGAATATTTATGACATTCATTGGCATTGTATATGTGGACTATCCGACTATGAACACCTATAATCTATCATAGTCTATACAAATATAGTACATTATATACAAAATTAATTTAAATCAAACAAATGTTGTCTCAGTCTTACTACTCTTAGTAATGCAAAACATAACAAAATAGACGTTTAGAGGAATCCATTTATCTGTTTTTTAATATTAAAATGAATTTCCCTATCATCAAATTAAAAGGTAATAACTCAGGGTACAGTGTAGGCTTTTTTTTATTTTAATTTTAAAACAAGTTATGAGCATTTTAAAATTTCATTGTAATTTTACACATGCGGGTACGAGTACGACTCCYTCTTAATATTACTACTTATTATGCATGGAAATACCAAAATGAATTGATGGGAAACTATTTTCAGGTGTACATCCCCTTAAAATCTTTGTTTTGTTTGCAGCGATGGTTTTTTAAATATCGAAGAATTCGACGGTATCTGCAAAGGACTCTTCCGCAATGACCGCGGAATTGTGTACAGTCTCGATGTCCACACCCTTAAACACATATTTAACATATTCGATACGAAAAGGGTATATAAGGCGGATAATGAATTAGGTAAATAATTATTGAATAATTTTGTTCTCTTGGATTTCAGGACGGTTTAATTGATCGACAAGAATTCGCTATGTGTTGGAATAAGTGGATTAAGACTGTAAGTATAAGATTGCAGAATGACAAAATGTAATGGTCAATAAAATGTAATTTTATTTTTTTATTTTATTCTGTCTATAATAATTTCAGTTGCTTATAGGTGAGGTATTTAAAAATGCTCGTGCAACTTCTGTAAATTCTTCTTTTTTATTTTTATTAGTTATAGCATATATAGCTAATTCGTTAAGACGTTGATACGTATAGTCATAGACTCACTCGTATATAATATATGATATATTCATAATATATTCACTATAGTTTCACTACAGTTGAAATTTAAAAATATAAAATATAAAAAATAACAATAATACACAGTCAATGGTGAGTGGGCTTCAGTATGTTAGCCCTCCCCCTTCGTACGTCACTGATCAATAACCTTATAGGATCTACTCTCACAACAAAATATGAATCCAGTATTGAAGATTGCAACTAAATTAATAATTTATATTTCAGATTATAAGACCCGTCAACATATTTCTCATTATAGACGTCCAAAACGATTTCATATCCGGTTCGTTGAACATCAGCAACTGTTCTGCGCAACAGAACGGATTAGAGGTATATAATATTTTTATGTACTAGAAAAATAATTTAACTTTCTCGTTTCACATTGTTATATTGTAAACAATAAAATGCGATTTTTCTTCAGATTATCGAGCCTATCAATCATCTGTTGGACACTGTGAATTTCGATTCTGTATTTTATTCGTACGACTGGCACCCGATCGATCACATATCGTTCATCGAGAACTTATCTTTGCGCCCTCTAGATTCGTCGTCACCAGTAATAATAAAAAAAACACCAAAAACAGGTTTATTTTAACACTTGATGTGTTTCATTTTAGATCAGAGCCGACAACGCAAAATTATATGACACCGTGATATTYGAGGGATCTCCGAAGATAAAACAACGTTTGTGGCCAAAGCACTGTGTCCAAGACTCTTGGGGCGCTCAGCTCTATAAAGACTTGAAGGTACGGTGAAACTTCCATAAAACGAATATTTTTTATAATACATATTTAACCATATAGGTACGTTTTCAAGCATAATAAAATTTTAACTACATTTTTTTAATTCTATTTAATGAAGTTTTTCTATAGAACATTTTTTTTTTTTTTTTGGCCATAGTCTTTGTCATAATATGAAAGTTTTAGTGTATATATACTATAGTGTATATATACTCATATATCATAATAATGCCAACTCTGTCCAGCGAGAGAACGCGCCGCGTGCCGAGTAAATTTTGGATTTTCTACGCATCCCCAAGCGACATCCAGCCATAGGGGAACCAGTTTTGATGGCAGTATGACGTGAATGGATGCGCAAAATCGACGCGTTATCTCGCTGGACAAAGTTTATAGACCCGAAAAGCTTACAATGTTTTTCATTTATATAGGTGGTGGACAATGCAGTAAAAATATACAAAGGAACGATATCAGACGTAGATTCGTATTCAGTGTTTTGGGACAACAAAAAATTGACTCAGACCACATTAGGCACACAGTTGGCTCAGTTGAACGCGACCGACATTTACGTGTGCGGATTGGCTTACGACGTTTGCGTCGGTAGGTATATTAATATTATTGTCTATATGTATACTAAATAATAGTTCATCTGTGTTTTTATTAGTGGTGAAATGAACGTAAAAGCGATATTCTTAATAAAAATGTGAACATTATCCATGTTTACGCGTATACCTACTCATTGTGTCGTATGACCATGCAGATTTGCGAATTTAAATAACTAAACTAATTTTTGTAAWATTTTATAATGTGGAGAATTATTTATTAATTTGTGTAAGGAACTTCCAAAACTCTTWGCTTAACCTGCAAAATATTCCTAAACATTATGCCTATATGATGTCATAGATATTTGTATTATTTAATAATTCATACATACCTTCATAAGGGCAGACTAACTATTGACATATTTATTTGTATATTATTTTGTATAGTAGGTATGGTTGCATTTCGATTTATTTCAAAATTCATCAAATTTRTATGCTCAATTTTTATATTCCTCATCCATCAACATTACAAATACACATCATGCATATAGCATATTATGTCCACCTAACAATCCATAAATTATAATACATTAAATTAACATAATTTAATGAAACAATCGACTCAAATTTTAAAAATTTAGTTACCTATGTTAGTCTGGTAATGATTTTATGCGACATAAAAAAATGTATTATGTACATTTAAAATCTTGCACCAAACCAAAAACCAGTTGATGGTATATTGCCACTCCTTACATTACCCTTCCAAATGACGTATCTGATCCTGTGTGTACATTTTACAACAAACAGTACTTACCTAAATACTAAAATGTATTTTTAACATTATTAATGGTGTGTATTATTAGTTACGTCTATGTCCGTTTCGCCACTGATATTTTTTTATTATTATTTATATAAAATGTATCTAACATACAAGGTTATTGATAGTATAAAATATAACATATATGATTTGTAAGCGTAAATAAATCACAATATTTACAACAAATTACAGTAATTTACATCGATAAATAAATAAATAATAATACGAGAAAGAATAATTAATTAAACTAGGYGTAGTATTTTAGTATTTCCCTTCGCCACTGATCACTGATTGTCATTGTAATTTATAAATTTGTAAACATTATAAAATCGTTATAGCAGTCATTGTGGTAGTTTTATAATGCATGACGATTGTTTATTGTTGTATGACTGTGTCGTTACTAATGTTACTATAGTCGTTTCATGTTTCCGGTTTTGGGGATATTTTTAATTTTTTCAGGTGCGACTGCAGCAGATGCGTTGTCGATTGGATACCGAACGATATTAATCGATGATTGTTGCAGAGGCGTCGATTTGAGCGACATTGAAACAACCAAAAACAATGTTGTCAAAAATCACGGTGTCATTGTTCAGTCGAACGAGGTGAATTTTTATTTTATTATTTTATATTGAAAAAAAAACATACAAACAAACAAACAAGCAAATAATAATAATTTAAGGAATTAAATGGKATCGGTGATCCATGGTACTATGCTGTCAGTCCATAATAACAGTACCTACGCTAYACACAGAACTATGGTCGTATTTCCAAGGAAAATCATAGATCATCATATCATATTCTAGACTTAAGAACAGATTTTAACTACATATCTCTCGAATTCTCTCCGATATGTTTGTATGGAAAAGTCGATGTCTACTATATATATATATATATATATATATATATATATAAGGAAAACATATCCTGACTAAATAACAGATCAATGAAAAGATTAAATTAGAGTAGATATTTTTATCCAAAGGTCATCGCTGGATTTGCGGGAGGGCCACGCAGTATATATATATATATATATATGTCTCAATGAGTTTTCGATAGGTTATAGGACAGTTTTCTTATATAACATATGTATAACATTTTCTGTGATGGAGAGTTCAGGAGCGTATTTGGCACCTAAGTATTATTAATTTTCTTTTATAAAAAATGACTTGGTAAATTAAATAAATTTAATTTAATGAATATTAGAGGGGAAAAAATGTAAAATGATTTGATGATTGTAAATTTGGCCTGGCAATAACAACTCTTATTCCGATTGTTCAGCTACCTAGTGAACTTTTGATGTGTTGATAACATTGATATTATTAACATCAATAACATAACGCAGAGGGAAACGAAGCTTGGCACCAGCACAAAATGATTCTGAACAATAAAAAAACTAATATCTAAACATGAAAATAGAAAACCGATGTTACGGTGAACAATTGTACATATATTAGTATCTACAATTGCGTTGGCTTACACTGCTTACAGATTTGTATACAACGCAACACATCATTCATAAGCTTAATACCAATGGTTAATAAGACTATTATTTTTAAATTATAGGTGATAGGTACATATTGTTATTAATTTTGAAAATCATTTGACATTGCAATCAGAGGACACACGGACACTCCAATGAGAGGTACTGATGAAGTACCACAAAATCATTTAAATCTTCCAAAAATATTTTTTTTTTTTAATTTAATGAAATAGTTCAAGAAGACCAGCTGACTTGATTTTTTATTTTATTTCAAAATTGTTGTTTTATGATTATAAGCCGGCCGTGTTGTATTCTCAACATATTCTTATTAGGACAATACAATTTCCTGATATTAACACGTTTCACTATATCTTATCTGTTGCGGCCTGCAGCGATTTTAGGCTTACGAAATAATGGAGATATCAAAATTCAGGTTTTATAATAACACTCACCACTCACAGGGATAAGAACTACAATTATTTCGTATTTCAATTTATTTTAATGTTTTGGTAAAAAAGTTAAAAAATGTATTTTTTTAATTTAATTATTTCCAAAAAAAACTAAAGATAGCCATTTTGTAGTTTATTTTTTTGAAAATATTGACTTTTCAAAATTTTATTTTCATTTATTACCCCATTTTTAATATTGTTTTTAGTTTCGAGAAAAATTGCGAATTATTTAAAACCGTAATGTTATCAAACATATGACCCACCGCGCCGCGCGTATTCCCATACGGTCGGCCGAATACTTTCCGTGTTCCTATATAATAGTTAAAAATTTATAATCATATTTTATTTCTTCAAAACTAGAAAAAATATTAAAAATCAGGAAAATAATAAAAATAAAATTTTGAAACGTCAATATTTTTAGAAAAATTAAGTCTACAAAATGGCTATCTTTATTTTTTTTTTTGGAAATAATTAAATTAAATTTTTTAATTTCTTACAAAAACATTAAAATAAATTAAAAATGAAATAATGGTAGTTCTTATCCCTGTGAAACTTATTATAAAACCAGAATTTTGATATCTCCATTATTTCGTGAGATATCGCATTGGGTAAATCATCAAGGGATACCCGCTGTATATCACTCTACACATCTTATTCGAGAGGAGACATGTGTAGCCTTCATTCTCAACTATAAAGTATATAGTTAATAGTATTTGAAAATTTTAAATTGTGATTTTACATTTTTTTTTAAAGTAAGTTATATTTTAACGTATAATTGTCATAACTTACCTCCAAAAGTTTAAACTATTAGGAAAACAATCATAATTGTTCATTAGCGATGGTTTTCTTTGGCTAGGTTATTGACAAACAATCATTGTTAATAAATATTAATATTAATATTAGAAAAAATTTCAGTTTCGCGTTTTCATACATAGGTATTACTTAATTAGGTATTGAAATATTTCAAAACGGAAAATTTCACAAGCGATATTTCATACTTCAAACACTAATTGTTAAAATTTGAAAATGTGAAGAGGCCTAAAAATTTGTATGYATTTACCCGCAGACCGCAGTTAATAAATCATTCGCCACGCCATTAGTTGCAAAAATAAAGCAAATGATTTAATTCCCAATTTTTAAGGACGATGGTGACGGCTCATCACCTATTCTTATCACCCCAATTGTTATAATTTATAAATAAGTAGTCGACAAAAGTACTGTCAAGTATCAATAACTCAAATTTTGAGAATGGTTAAAAAAAGTTAAGTTTATTTATCTTCGGATTATACTTACAGCACTTATGTCTTATAATAACATTGAGTATTTCAATTTAAAAAAAATTTATATGGGACAGTGATAAAAATCGAGTTATCGAAATTCGGTTGTWTAATAATATAYCTAATTTTAGCAGTTGAGCGTAATATTAATGTAGGTWTTTTTTTACCCTTCTAGATAAAAACAATGGTTGAAGGGCGCGACAGGAGGCCTGAATTGGGCTATAAATTGGCGCTCGAAATCGAAAAGTCAATGAAGAAAGAAAATTACAAATAGGATCTTTGTATTCGTAAATAATTATAAGCTTAAAATTATAGTAAAACARTACTAATTTAAATGGAAACTATGTGTAAATCTCATCAGTTGTTCAGTCATTGTCACAGTATTCATTTGTTCTTGTTATTTTTAGGCATCAATAGGTCTCTGGTGTATAACTACTTACTTGGAAACTAAGTGTTGTGTTTAGTYAATAAGCCATATATTTTTTCCACAAAAGTTAGGCTTAATATATTTTATAAAAAAAAATAATTTGTACATGTGCACTGAGTATATTTAATATTTGTAAAAAAAACTAAATTTATGTTAGAATAATGATTACAATAATTGCATACTATAATATTAAGTATCAAACAAACATTCCAGCCTTATATTTTATACATATACCACATTGTTAACTATTATTTTTATTGTTTTTTTTTGCATTTAATTTATTATTATAAGTTAATTCTGTTGAAGTTTTGTCTTRAGGCGATTGGTATGCTTCAATAAATTAGCAACATTATATCTTAAATTGTTGAGTTGCAACACAGACATTCTGACACTTTTACTAGTGTTGTTTTCAGTTAACGTCATAATTATGTGTTTCTCTTTTTTTGGTCCTTCGCTGAAATTAATTATAAATTATTACAAATAACATTAAAAAACATGTAAGCAATCACACTTAGACTATTTAAAATTGCAGTAAATACAGCTTTCATTGAGTATGAAGATGATTAACTATCAAATTTTCAACATCACATTTTTTTGTTAGTAAAAAATGTTAATGTAAAAAGTCACTAAGTTAACTGTAMAAAGAAATGTATAATAAATACAAATATTGATCATAAATTGAGATTCATAATATATATTGTAAATTATTTTTAATAAGTGATAAATGTTAGATACTCCTAAAATGATTATAATTAATAAAAAATGTAAAAATAATAACAAATACGCTAATAATTTGCAAATAATGTTTTATATTTATTTTTATTTTATTTTTTTAAATATTTTAATTTTAGGAAAATTATTTATTTATATTATAAATGTTGGAAATATGCTGTGCGCATAAACAGCTTGTAAGTAAAATATTAAGTTTTATTTGCAAAAATAATTTATTTATAAAAATGTTTAGTAATATGTTATTTTATTTTATCCAGAACTGGAAACATTGCATGATTTAAGTTACAGATTAATGAAATGATACGTATATATATCATAAACTACAGTGAAACATATTCATCACTTCAAATTACAAAGTATAGATCACACAATGTATAAATAATAATACAATTTATGTAATCGTTAAAGCTCTTAGTGATGTTAATTTGTTGACACAAGCAAAAAGAAACCAACTGATTTTACAACCATTAAATAAATCATCAATGAAAAACTATGTATTACATAAGGTTTTTCTAATTTGATAAAGTTATAGTATGACACTATGATGTATAATATACATAAATTGTTCCTTATATCTAAATAGTTAATCAATTATGTCTCACCATGATCAAAACCCATGGGTAATATTTATAATTATTAAAGTTATTCTTATGATTATTCAATTTCAGATTAGAGATTCTACAGTTCTTTATATATGAGTCATCAATATCAAATCATTATAAAAGCATGCAGCCATAAAATGATTATATTTTTCTCTTTGATTATACATACATCTAAATAAGAGTTGTGATCATAATACTCACTRTAGCTTTTCATATTGGTTGTATGATTATTACCATAATTTATAGTATCATGGTTCTATGATATTATGAATTTTGTATTTTCAGACAACTCGCGACATTGAATATTATAGTTTACTCAGTGATTAAAAAAATGTGACTATTTATGAATTTCAATTGTTTACTAATTATACCTTTTCATATTTTGATTAGATAGATAATAAGCATATAGTTAAGCTAGAAACAATTAAAGCAACAAATAAATACTTTTTTTTATTTAAACTATTTTTGCTAAAAACAAACTTAATTTTTTTAAACGTATTTTAGAAAAATTGGAAACTATAACTACTCTCAATACCTAAATAGATTAATAATAGACTGTCACAATTAAAATTGCTTCTTTCTCAACCAAATAACATTGAGTGGTTAGCTTTAATATAAGAGTGAGTTGAAATATTAATTAACTTAAAGATAAAAACACTATCTACCTATGTCTGTACTTCAATTTTGTAAAAATTTTTAATTTACAAGTGAGTCATGTTTGTTTTATTAATTATAAATTTTAAATTCAATTTTCATAAAAACAGTTAGATAGTAAGTTATAATACCTAAACAAACTAATAATATTAAAGCAAGAAAGCTAACAACATAAAATTGGTTGAGCTTAACGTAAATTTGCATACAAGTGCATATACATATTAAACTCAATAATAAAAAACAATAAATTAAAACATACATTTTGCAACTATGACTAGTTATAAAATGTTAAGTCATCAATTTTAAAAATAAGTACCTATATTCARCATTATACAATAATCATAATCTAGGTAGGTACTGACAATAATCAACAAACTAAATATATTCAAGAAATACAAAACATAGTCTTTATCTGATCAATAAAATACAACACATTGTTTAATTGATTTCTGCGTTAAATTAGGAAAGTAAATGTATGTTATTATAATCAAATTTAGTTGTAACTTGGAATTTATAAATAATACCTGCTTATGGACAGAGTTTATTTGACAGATCAAAAGTTAATATCGGTATAGGTAACAGGTGAGAAATCGGAATTTAAAATCGCCATAATTATTAAAAGTGCATTAATACCTCGTTGAAATGTTGACATTTTCGATTATGTAATCGGTTGGAGCTTTAGTATAAACTTCCATTTTAAATTCTACGCGAGAATTTGATTTCTTTTAAACTAAGTACATCAATTTCCGGACGAAATTAGTAATGATTACTAAGAAAGTTTAAGATATAGAAAGAAAAAGTTTCAACTAAATAGGTACACCTCAATTTACAGTAAATCAAACATCAAACACATAAAATTTAAAATAATCATAATTCGAAATATAAATATATTATTAAACCTACAATAATTTTTATCATCGACTAAACGTTATCTTAATATTCAAACTGTGATCACAGCTGATTGTTCTATATGATAAGCAAACTCGCATGTGTTATCGTCACGATTATAAAGTTATATAAAGTTATTTATAGTAATTATAAAGTTCTTTATAATCGTGATCGTGGTTATCGTAAATCGTAATGAACAAAATATGAAGTCGGCCGCCATATTTATACATGTCGAGTGCAAACCATAGTCTGTGGTGCAAACAAATGATGTGATAAGAATATGATGAATTGATTACAGGAATTAAAAAAAA